TCTCTCTCTCTCTCTCTCTCTCTCTCTCTCTCTCTCTCTCTCTCTCTCATTTTTTTAGGACTTTTCTATGATTCACATGCTAAAGCCGGGATTATGTTGGGTTGGATATATTTTAAGTATCAGAGGTCTATTTTTACCTGCTGTATCTTGGAATCTAGCTGATGGAAATACATGACTGTGGGTGTTTATCATGCAGAGAGGGGCACGTGGTGCCTTTTCTGCATGGGCTTCTATTTGAACATGTGCCTTTTTTGAATTATGCTTCCACAGGCAAAACTCAGTAGATATCTCTATTTTTATATTGAATCTCATAATTGGAGAATACAGAATATTTAAATGGTAAGTTAGTATCAGAGGTTTGCCTTCTCAGTAACATTCCTGTTCTCATTTGATTAGAGGAGGCTTTCTCTGTGACCCATTTTTTGCATAGATTTGTGCTCCATTGTTTTTCTTTTTTTCCCTCCCAGTTTTCTTCAAAGACTTCTGTTGGTGACATTTTTATCCCATTGCTTGGTTGAGAATAGAAATTTAAAATATCACCACGATACTCTCTGTGGGGTGGGGTGGTGTGGGGGTGGGAGAAAGAAATTGTCATACCATGGCATACACCCCTTCCCATCCCGTCTTCTACTTTCTCTCATTTCTGTCTTTGGTAAGAAGGATTATTTAAAGGTGCAATATGTGACTTAGTGGTTCACGATGCTCTGGGTTTTTAGTAATGTTTTACTCAGGTTGGCATTTTACGTGTGTCTGTGTTTGTGTGTGTGTATGTGTGTGTGTGTGTGTATGTGTGTGTGTGTGTTTTATAGCATAGTGATCTGTGAACATTTCAGTGTGAACTCAGATTAACCCCTTTTCCCCCGAAGTCCACTGGCTTTAGACTCTATCTGCAGTGACACACATCAGTATCTACTGTATATATAAATACTAAACTCTTACACCAGTCATTCCTATGAATTGAGGTGTACAAAGTTTGATTTGTATCAAAGATGTAATTATTATTTTTAAAACCTCTTTTCACTACACTGCTGCTGTAATTACTTTGAATTTTAAAGAAAATGTAGATTCTTTGTTTGCTTCAGGTGTGTATTCACCAAGAATTTTAGAATTTATGAGGATTATTTTATTGGTACATAATCTGTAAACTTCTCAAGGCATTAACATGACAAGATTTGTGTCTTTTATTTTATCTTGTGGCTCAGGTTATATTTGAGGAAGTTTCTCTAGTAGACAGTGAAGTATATAAGGTCTTATGAAGGAATCACCAAGTCCCTGGAGCCCTGGGGCTGTTTTCCACAGGGACACATTCTGCTGTACGTTTGGGACAATGGTCTCCTGTTGAAGATGAGAGTGGGGTCTTCTCCAAGGTCCTGGTCACTGTAGGCCCTGGGGTAGCCTTCTGGTATTCTGTACCCTGCACTTCACTCACCAGCACTTTGATGACTGTGTGTACATGATCATGAGTATTTGAGGGTCATAGAGGGTGAACCATGGTGCGCTTAAAACCCTTGGTGTGGTCAGAATTGTAGTGCTATATGTGTTCTGGCCCCCTTTCCTTCAAGGTACTGAGAGGATTGAAAGGAAGGCTCAGAATGTCGTCATATTTGGGGGGAGAATTTTGCTTCTCAAATGGAAACTGCACTTTTTGCTAATACCTTTGCATTTTGATGTCCATTTACTGTCAGGCCTTTCAAGGAAAGAACTGGCCAGGGCAGGTTGGGCCCCTTGACTCCACCTCACCAGGGAGTTTGACATTGCAATTGTGAATCAGGGAAGCCATGCTGTCCCAAGGTATGAAGGAGTGAAGCTGAATGTGGACTTATTATCCCCAAATCCCATTTAATCTGACCCCTAGCATGCGCTGACTCTGGGGTGCTATACAGATGGACCTGTCTGGTGATATTTCTGTGCACCATCACCCGGCCTGCTCATTGTGTTAGGAGCCACTGTAATGAATAGCAGGGGGTCAAATCTCGTGCAGTGCCTGAACCTTGCCTCGACTGCCATCGGAAAGGCAGAGGAAAGGACTTGCCCCTAGCCAAGTCCTGTAAAAGATTGGAGTCTCTTAAAAAATGAAAGCAACATAATTATAAACATATTGTATAAAAATGCAAAACACAGAAATCTTCTCTGCTTCTGCCTGTATGAGTCTGGAAAGTCCTTAGGCACCAGCCCCAGCAAGCCACTCACATGTCATTCCCAGGCCCAGGAAAAAGGATAGTTGGCAGAGAGATGGGGAGTTCCAAATAGGCAGGTTACACGAAGGTCACCATGCCATTTCACATCCAGAGGAGGGCTTTGTGGTGGGGTTGGCCTGGCACAGTCAATGGAAAGGGAAGATTAGCATGTTGGTAAGAAGACGGCATGACAGAAGCTGAGGCTGGTCAGAGGTGAGGGGAGGGTACTTCTCTCTGTATGCCCCAAGCTCTCAATGGAACTGGGAACCAAAATTTGAAGAGTGGCAAAATTGAAATGATGTAGCTCCCTGCTCAGATGTATTGACTCCACAGAGCAAAGCAGCTGGTGTAGGACTCACCATCAGTGAAAGGGCTACAGACTGGTGGCTAGCTGCTGTGGAGGATGTGCGCTATTGATGTCTTCTAAGACAGAGACTTTTCCTCCAGAGCTGAATCTAGTGACAATGGGCACCAGAAGGACATTTGGTGTCTGTTCTCTGAGGCCACTTTGTGATCTCCAGGTAGACTTTGGCATGTGGACCCTCTGGATTTGTGCTTTGTGAAAGTTGGAGGCTCTGGGGGGTGGGAGTGGGGAGGAGGTAGGGAAGGGTCAACTATGCAGTCATACTCGCTTTTCTGGGATGGAGAAGCCCAGTCTTTTGTAATGCTTGATTGTGCTTTGTGCTTGTTGAGCTAAACAAGCCTGCTGACAGAAGTTGATTCACCTCAAAACAAAGTCAGAATTCTGTGTTTTCAGACTACCATGTAGCAACTGTGTGTTTAACGACTAGCGTTTTCTTCCTGGGGCACAGAAATGTTGATGCGGACTTTAAACCGCACTTTTCTTGTAACTATTGTGGAATGATGCACATTTCTATGTCTGTTATACTTGGCCAGAGTATTGCTGTTGGTTACTTTTTTTTTAAAGGAAAAAAAATGGCCTGAAAAAACTTTTTTAAAGACTTACAAATACCAAATATAAATATGTCAACACATTATGTCTTTTGAGTCTTTCTTTCCTTTATCCCCACCCCACTTATTCTATGTCTCTACCAAGTATCAAGCACTTTACTGATTTGTTATATTCGACCAGCGCATTCCTAACAAAATCATATTGCCACTGGAATTTTTCGTATTGTTTTCTAGGGTCATTGTTTCAGATACCACAGATGGTGGTTTAAGCCAAAAGAATCATCTTTTTACAGTTCTAAAACCTAGAGGTCAGAGGTCCAAGGATGGCAGGTTCTCGTCTGGTCTCTCTGCCCACATGTAATCTTTCCCCTAGGCTAGCCTTCTCTCTGCCCACATATGATCTTTTTTTTATACAGTCTGAGGATTCTAGTGGTACTGCTTAGGGCCTTTCCACACTATCTTGTCTTACCTTAATTCCTCCTTAGATCTCTTCTTCAAATAGAGTCACATTTTGAGGTCCTATGGGTTTATACTTCAAGATAGGAGAGTTAGAAGATGTGGCTGTGTGGGTGTTCAGGCCTAACGGTGTGACTCTCAGTTTGGTAGGAGTATGCTCACCTTAGAGGGTCTTTTGTTGAGGTGTTTAGGAAATTTCATAATTATTGGAATTTGGTGACAGGTTGTTATGGCAGCTGGTTATTAACCCTCCTCATGCTGCGACCTTTTAATAAATTCCTCATGTAATGATGCCCCACCCATAAAATTATTTTTGTTGCTACTTTTTTACTATAATGTTATGAATTGTAATGTGAATGTTAGTGTTTTTCTGTTGATCTTAGGCCATAGTAGTGGCCTAAGGATCATTCGACCTCCGAGGAGTTATGACCCACAAGTTGAGAACCATTGTGATTTCATCTTTTGTGTCCCTTGATAAAACAATATTTTTGTTGTTGTTGTTTTCGAGACTGGAGCTCATGTAGCCCAGACTGAATTTAAACTCCTTATGACCTTGAATTTCTAACCCTTTTGCCTCCATTTTATGAGTCCTGGGAATAAGCATATATCATCATTCCCAGCACATTTTTGAGTCATTTAACGTGAAATAAAATTTGCATGTGATTTCTTTTAGTATGTCCAAGTTGACTGACTCAAGGTTCCTTTTTTCATAACTTTTCTGATTAGGCAGAAAAGCACAAACCTGGGACCGCTGGTAATGTAGTTACCCAAACAGCCTCAGTCTCTGGCTGAGGCTACAGTGTTTGGCTTCTGATATACTGGATATATGGTGATACAAGAGTCATACCAGTCCAAACACTGAGCAGTCAGGGCTTTTCCTCCACCTAAATGCACCTCAAACCTAAACTGAAGGAGTCAAGACCACAGAACTTTTTTCTTAGTCAGTATTAGGTGGCAGAGAGCTGAGTTTGTCACGAGAGTGAAGAGTACAGAACTGTTTTATTGAAGACGTGGGTCTGCGCAGAAGGGCATGGGTTGACTTCTTGCCAAAGCCAAACAAGTTTAGATCCAAGCTAAGTGGGAATCCTGCCTTGATCCCCGATGCTATCGGACCATCAACTCTCTGACCTGGTACTTACTTGAGGTAATTTTGTTGTTTATCAGTGTCATCACAAAATGTCTGATTGGAAGCAGCTTCAGAGGAGAAGGCTTTGTTTTAGCTGACAGTCATCATGGCAGTAGTAGTCTAGAACCAAAGCATGAGCAGGAAGTAGGGCCAGGTTATAGGCAACCACTTCTTCCAAAAGGTTACCTTACCAAACAAGAACCATCA